GGGGGAGGGTATAGCTCAAGTGGTAGAGCACATGCTCAGCATGCAGGAAGTCCTGGGTTCAATCCCCAGTACTTCCTCTAAAAGTAAATAAATAAATCTACTTACCTCCCCACCGGAAAAAAAAAAAAAAGGTAAAATTATCCCCTGTTAGCAGATGACTTGATCTTATTTATAAAAAATCCTAAGGAATCCACACCCCCCCCAAAAAAACTATTACAGGTGATAAATGACTTAAGTAAGACTGTAGGAGACAATGACATCAATATATAAAAATCAACTGTATTTTTATATAGCAGCAATGAACAATCCAAAAATGAAATTAAGAATAACAATTCTATTTATAGTGCCATCAAAAAACAAAAGGACTAAAAATAAAATTAACAAATGAAATGTAAGACTTACACACTGAAAATTACAAAACACAACTGAAAGAAATTAAAGAAGACCTAAGTGAATGGAAAGACATTCAGTGTTCATGGACTGAAAAAAATCAATATTCTTAAGATCTCAATAGTTAAGATCCCCCATTGATCTACAGAGTGAATACAATCCCTATCAAAATTCCAGGTGCCTTTTTTTTTTTAATTTTGGCTGAAATTTACAAGCTGATTCTGAAATTCATATTACAAGGGTCCTTGAATAGCCAAAACAATCTTGAAACAAACAAAAACAGAACTGGAGAACTCACATCTTTCAATTTCAAAACTTACCAAAAAGCTACAGTAATCACAACTGTGTAGTACCGGTATAAGGGTAGTCATAGATCAACGGAATAGAATTGACAGTCTGTGAATAGACCCTTACATTTATGGGCAACTGATTTTTTTGACAAGGGTGCTAAAACAATTTAATGGGAACAGAAAAGTCTTCTCAATAAATGGTATAGGGACAACTGGATACCCACATGCAAAAAGAATGACTTTGGACCCCTACCTCACCACCACATGATGAATCACCAACTTATTGCTGACCCAAAATCTGTTGATCTGAAGTTTTACGGCAGGGCCAAAAGCCTGGTTAAGAGGAAATATGATAATTTCTAAAGAGAAAAATTAGCAATGTCTAGAAATTCCAGACCAGGCTGATTCCTTACAAAATTCAAAACTAGCTTAAACAAAATGTAAAGTTAGAAAAGGAAAAAGTCAGAAGATTCATCATGAACAAGTCAAGCCATATTAACTAGTTTCTATTTTGATAAGTTAACTTCACTGCAGGTAAGAACTCTGTAGGCATCATATAGTTTAATTATAGCAAGCCATTTGGTAAAATCTTTCATAATATCCAGCCAGGCAAAACGGCATATGGGCTTGATAATAATACATAGAAATAATAGTTGCTGAGAAACCAGTGTGTTGATTAACGATGTTAATCTGGAGGGAGTCTAATCAAGCTGTATGCTTCAGAGCTCTTTATTCTGTCATTTTAATATTTTTATCAACTTGAATGAAGACCCAGTAGGTATGCCTACCAAAAAATTGGAAGGAATAGATAATATTAAATGCCTAAATCAAGACTAACAAAATGAAATACAAAGGCCTAATATTTAGGCTAAAAAAATTTTGTTACAGAAAACCAGGGTTAGGAAGACTTAATTTAATCTATGTATGAAGGATATGGAGTATGACTGACACTACTGGCTAATACTAAGCATAAGTAACAGAAGTTAAAATTGTGAATGAAGTATTTAGTTTTAAAATAATAGCATTTAGCTCAAGAAGATATATCCAACCATACATTGTCTGATCAAATACCATCTAAATGGCATTCTAAAATGCTGAGTATGATTCTGGGAATCATGGTCAATGATGAAGAGCAACTAAAATTCATTAAAAGAAAAATGACCACAATTAAGGATCAGAGAATTACATTCGCTAAGGAATGACTAAATAAATTGGGACTGTTTTACTCTGAAGAAGAGATGAGAATGCTCAGAATGTGTGATAGAGAGGAGTCAGCAGGGTCACAATAACAGTATTCAAATATTGTAAGGGGCTGTTCACGTGGAAAAGGAATTATACTTGGAGAAAGAAAATTTAGTGGGAACAGCATAAGCTATGATGTCATAAACAGCTGGATTCAAATCCTGGCTATCATTTACCATGTTATTTGATGCTTAGAAAGGTCAAGTTTCCTCACCTAGAAAATGCTACTTACTTCATAAACGGATAAAAATTAAATGCAATTTAGTGTAAAAATGTTTGTAAGTTGCCTGGCATAGCCTAACACATTGTGATGCACAATAACGTTAGTTCTCTTCTCTAAACTTTTCTGAGGTGTTACTAGAAGAGCGTTTTTCAAACTGAGAATTACCCATTAATGGGTGAGCAAATCAGCTCAGTAGGTTGTAACCAGCTATTTTTCCTGAAGAAACAGAACAAAATAGAAAATATTAGTGCTTACCACATGTACTAAGTACAGTTTTGTGAAACTCTTGTTTCAATTATTCATATATATTTGTGTACAAGGTTATGATATAAAATGTATTTCTTATCATGAAGCTGGGTTCAGGAAAAAGAAGCTGTGAAAGCCACTGCTCTAAGAACAACACTATTTTCTAGGTGTGCTCTACAGATACTAGTTCCTTGGGAGTGCAAATAAATTTAGTGAACAAACTATACCACTTACAGATTTACCATACTAAATATATACGATCGTATCAAAAAAAATCCAGCATTAAAGAAACATTTTTGTTGTTGTTGAACTGTTTTTCCCATATATTTTGATCTCAGATCCACAATATCTACTAACCATCTTCAGAACTAGCATTTTGTGGTTTACATTTGGGGGAAAACATTCCTCTAGATGAAAAAAGAAATGGTGTAAGTTACAGAAAGTAGATTTTTAGCTTGCTAAGAAAAAAACTGACTCTCTAAATCTTCCTTTCTCTACCACTAACACCTACCACCACCCCTTTTAACTTATACTACAAATACATACTCCAAAGTACTGTAAATATGATTTATCAAACTTTTAATTCACACAAATCTTTTCAGAAAAAGTGCAGGACATCTATAGTATCAAGATATATAGTAACCAGGATCAAAGCAGTAAGCAGGTACCATCTGGTCATAGTATTTAAGAAGACTTGTTTTACCTGAACAAACCCTATGTTCAGAAACCAAAGCAGCAAAGACTTAATCAGCTTCTCCAAGTGGAGTCAACGTGTTCTAAGAATACATAATCTAAAATGGGCTGATGAGTGCAGCTAATCCTCGTTATTATTAAGAGCATCATTATAATCATCACTTGTAAGAAGCATGTGATGATATTTAGATGATTCTGGTTTCTTTTAAAGTGTCTACATACCTAGGATTCCTTTGAGAGCACATGATTTCACACTAATATGAAAAACTGTCACTTCTATAATCAGTTCTAATAATATTTAGTATCACTTGACAATAAAATAAAGGCTTGACATCATATATTCAAGAGTATCGCCGTAATTCAAACCTTTCTAATTGGGAGTTACAAATATTTCTGCCTCTAGCAGTTGTCAGAGCATAAAAGCCACCTCTCAAAGTCTGCCCCAACTACTTTAGACTATTATTTTCTTCCCAATTCTGAGCACTCTCAGTACTTTTTGTCCCTATCACTCTTTTTAGCAATTCATTGTGTATTTCCTAGACTATTTCTTATTTTATTCCTGCATAAAGCTTGACTACGATAACTGCTTTAATGAGCAGGGATCAACATTTAAGAATCTCCCACAAGATCCTGAAAGCACTCACCCAATATTTCTAGATTTAAACAAACAGGCTTAAGAGTAATTGTAGCTAGTCTCAGAGAGCTTATATGTCAAACTCATGCTAAAAGCATAAACAACACCACTTCATTAAAATATTTTTTAAAAGCATACAGATTATCTCACATAATGTTCACAACTCTAAAGAGGTAAGAACTATTATTTTCTCCATCCAATAGAGGAAGAAGGCGAGGCTTAGAGTAACTTGCCCAAGGTCGTACAGCTAGTAAGCAGCAGAGCCAGGGACTGAATCCAGGCAAAGCTCTTAACCACCTCTGTAAAGTTGTACCCCTGCAATACCATAGTCCATGAAGGATTTCAATTTCACTAAGTTAGAAGTTTCAGTGTCAACAAAGAGCAGAGGTATCTCAGCTAAAAATTAAAACTTTTAAAAAAGGATAAGTTAAGAATTTCCCATTGACATCTTTCTGCCGTTATAATAAACCATGAGGGAAACTGCCTCCCTTGTCCTTTCTATATATGGAAGTGATATGGTGTGGATCACAACTTTATCAAGAAGTGACTTATGACAATACAGTTCGGTTTAGGTTTTTAAATAGGGCTCTCTGCCCCTAGGATACAGAACTGAAAGGATAACTGTCACTTCACAGCTCCGAAAAACGGCAGACCCAATTCGTGTTTAAAAAAGGAGAGCCAGGGCTCTTGTTCCACCTTTGACTGTACACAAAGCAGCACCAACCTCTGCCCTCTTCACACAAAGCAAGCTTTACCCCACTACCCGAGAGGGAGTGCTGATTCACATGGTCTCCCCATTGCGGACAGAAACGTACCCATCTCCCACTGGCCCAAAACACTGACCACTGCACAGACTTAAGACCACTCTGGTCTGCTCCCCGACCAGGTGATACCTCATCAAGCAGACCCCTCCCCAAAATCCAAAATGCCCAGGCCACCATCCGAAAGCCAGAATTTCACACAAAGCAGTTTTCCATCTCCGACTCCTCCCACGGCGAGCAGCTCTTCCTACGCTGTACCAGCCCAAAGACCCCAACGGGGTCCAAAGTCCAGAGGGCCCCCAGCCCAGAGAAGAACTAGCTACAAACCCTGTTCCTCTCGCTAGCCTCGAGCCGCCAACTCTAGCTGACCTTTCCGCAGGCACAGCAAGAAAACCACGAGTCCCCGTCAGAGAGCGGATCCGGCTACACAAAGCCGGGTGTCTTACCGGGGGACCCTCGAAAGACGCTCTCCGCCCCCAGGCCCGTCCCCGCCCAGCCCCGGCCCAGGGCCCCGCGCTCACCAGCTCTCCTCCTCCTCTTCCCAGCCTGACAGGCGCTCCAGCTCCTCGGGCCGCAGCGGCTCCACCTCGTCCAGCAAGCCGCCCTCGCCCGCTGCCAGCAAGGAGGTGGCGTCCCGCAGCTCCTCGCTACTCGTCCGCCTTGGGCCCGACCCGGCCCCGCTGCCCGACTTGACGTTGAGGCCCAAGGGGAAGCCCCGAGGGGACGCCGCGCCAGAAGAGGGAGTGGACCCGCCGACCCGAACAGGGCTGCCAGGCCCCAGGGAGCCAGCGCTCTGCACGGCCCCGGAGCGGCTCCTCAGCTGTTCGTTCTGCTTCTCCAGCTTCTTCACCAGCTCCTGCAGCTTCCGCACCTCCTGGTCCGCGTTCACATTGGAATTTACGTCCTCCATCCCGGCCCCGCCGCCTCTGCCGCCTACCACCCGCTCGAACTCACGGCCACAGGGAAAGAGCCGGAGGAAGGGCGCCGCCGCCGCTCACTCTAGCCGAGGCGCCGGCATACAGCAGGGCCAAGCCCCACCGCCAGGGTCCCCCCTGCTCCGGTTCCGAAGCGCCGCTGGCCCCAGCCGAGCGCCTCATCTGCGCCGGCT